GCTTGAAACAGTTAGGTATTCACATGTTTAAATATTTTTGATCAAAATTATTTCTATTTAAATTTTGATTCTACCAGAAAGAAGAATTTTGTTTAAACAAAATAAAGAATTGGTTTTGAACTGTTTAACAATTTCTGATTCACATAAATTTATGCTAGTCTAGACTAGAAAAGGATTTGTTTTGTTTGATTTGTTTTAAATAGCCTACGTACAAATATGAAATTATATAAAACCAACCAAATGGATCTGAAAAAATAATGAAAAACACTTAAAATTGGAAAACGCGATTCTTTCTTAATCATAATCGTAATTTCTGGAACATCAGAAAAATAAAATTTTAGTAATTCAGTAGTTAAAAAGAGTAATCCATATACAGATGTTCCAAAGACTTTTGCTCTTGCAAAATCTCACATTAACTTTTTATTATTTTTAAAAAATGTAGGTATTAAAAAACAAAAATTTACAACAATGCTTATTTGTAAATATCTAAATTATAAAATGAACATTTGGAAAATAAAAAAAAATCAAATAAAAGACAACCAAAGAAACAAAGAAAGAATATTCAGAAACTAAAGAATTTTAAAATAAGGAAGAAAAAAATAACATAAAAAGAAAAAGATAACATTCTTAATTAGTTTTTTAACAAAATGTATCTTTTACAAAAGAAGCAATCAACTTAATGTTTATAGGACGGCTTGTGTAGCGGTGTCTTAGAAATAATGGAAAGTTTCAGTGCTACCAATAAAAAGTAAATGTAGGAAAATTGTAATTTTTTTAGAAAAAGATTTTAAAATAATTGTAAGATCTTGAATATTGAGATACAGGGTGATTCATCTAAATCACGTACAGGTTATTTTTTGGAATAAATGAACAAAAACAAACGTACAGTTTTATTGTTGCGAAAATTTAGTTGAAACTGTTTTAAATAAATCTTTCTGCTCCATTTGCACCAACACCAAGGACTCGCCGCAAAACATACTTTGAAACTGTTATTTGTCACTGCCAACTCTGTTCAAAACCGATTAGAAATTATGACCACATGATAACCTACATATAACTTCACTCTTTAGATGAATGTCTGATGTGTCAATAAATCAGGTAAACGATAATCTATCTGGCGGCTTTATACTCCCATAACGCTCTAAATAGTCGATAAATTTAAAAATAACAGCGGTGTAAAGTTGCATTCAAATCTCATAAATTATTTCATCAGAAAGGGTCGGAGGCATTGAATAAAATTACACGGGAAAATAATTTCAAATGCTTGCCGTCTTCGCATCCCGTGAAACATAAAACGTGAGTTTTAAATCGTTGCAAAGTGCACTTAAAAATAATATTTTGCTGCAAGAGGGGATTCCCCGAAGGTCAAATTTCACAAATTTCTGCTCAAATAAACACGAAACAATTGGGTCACCAAATCGCAATTAATTTAAAATTATAATCTTCTAAGTTATGTAAGCCAGACCTCGTGTCCGCCCTAACAAGATTTTCGAAAATTTTCTACCAGAGTCCTTGAGTACGAAACGAAGCAGGTCAAATAAACACATTTTTATACCGAGTGTTTATAATTAAACGCTCCACGCCTTCAAGTGGCTACAATAAAATATTAATCATCTCGTCCCATCAAGTTCAGATTGTGGGTCAGTGGTATTGTGTTGGGCACAATGCTGTGGCATTGAGTCTCTTCAACTAAGGCCAAGTGTCAAACTATTTCTAATAAACGATCTTTGTTGTTGGTAATTGAAAGGTTCGAAGTGATTTATCCGAGATAATTGCATTATCAAGTACAAAAAATATGCAAATCGATCCTTTCGCGTTCCAGAATCAGGCTTCAAATGCCATTTTTTTCGATTTGCTTCAATGATTTTAAAGCGAAATTTTGACAGTTTCCGACTGTGGCTCAAGGAAATTTAAATGTCAGTGATGGAAAACTGAAAAATATTATTTTAATTATGGGTTCGTGTTTTTCCTCAGGCTAAGACAAATTAAACTGTTGTTGATGTATTGAATGTTTACAATTTTTTTCAACACTTCCTTTTTGAATCATCTTATAAAAATTATTACTTATTTTTTTAACTCGAAGTTATTTACCTTGACGATGGAAACATGACTCGTTTTAACTTTAACTTTTCAAATTTCTAAGTTTCTTAATCACTGGATGGCCAAATATAGACAAACAATTGTATTGTCTAAATGTCAATGACTTGAACTTGTATAATAATAATAATAATAAGTCTCATGAATTTATGGATTTATATAAATTATGGGTATAAATAACCTGTTAACATATTATTATATTCTTTATTAAAAAAAACATTAAATGTAGAACAGGATAAACAAAAAAATTGTTATATTTGTACAAGGTATTTTTAGGTGGGCTTTAGATAGATTTTTTATTAAAGAAAATAAAATTTTATTTTTTGAAATTAAATAATATTAAAAATTATACCTATTTTACTGCTATAAAATTAATAATTATATTATTAAAGTAAGAAGGCAGATAAACAAATTTCATTGTTAAAAACTAATTAGGACTGCAAAATAATTAATTAAGTAATGTTGTTCTTACACCAATTGAGGCAAAAATAAAAATTTGATAACTGATGATTTAGATTTTTCACTGTTGTCATTCGAAAATGAATTAGAATTTGGTCGAAGACTTAAATTTTAAAGAAGATAAAATTTATTGATGATTTTAAATTTAATTTACAAAATTCTCTTAAAGTCAACAATTTGAAATTTAATATTTTTTGCTTTGAGTAAAGTAGCTTGTTTAATATGATTTATTTGCAGGAGGTATTAATTTGTAACATTGGCAGTCTAATATACGGAATATTATGATTAGAAACCTTACCATGTCCTTTAAATAATAATTAATTACTTTAATATCATCCTTCAATTTTTCACATTTTTATGAAAATTCTAAAATTTTTACCTCGAATAATTTTCTCTAAAATATAAATTAAAGGTAAACTAGTTTATGGTAATAAAAGAAACCCTCTAAATTTGGCTATATAAACCCTCAAATCGCAAAATAAATTATCAGTCAACTAAAGACAACATCAAAGATGTACAAATTGGTAAGTTTAATGAAAAATTAATAAAACGAGTACAAATATTTTATATTTCAGTTGTGCTTTGCTGCTCTTTTGGCTTGTGCCACCGCTGGCTTTATCGGGGCTCCCCTTGTGGCCCATTCCATCCACTCAGTGCCCATAGTTCGCGCCGCCCCCATCGTCCACACCGCCCATGTGGTGCATGCAGCTCCTCTAGTCTATGGTTTCCACCACCACCACCATGGCCTGTACTTCCGTCGTTAAAAACGTTATTTTTGTTTATATTTCGAATAAAAATATTTTCTGTAATTAATTCTGTTTCGTTTTTTATTTACGGGAGCTTGCGTTTTTTTTTAATTGGCTCTTTTTGAACATTTCCCGAATCTAATTAAATATAAAAGCCCTCGACCATACTCGAGTCGCAAATTTAAAACCAATTGAACTTTCAGCAAGTTCGTTGGGAAGCGATGAACCTGAACTAATTCCAAATAATTTCAATAACTCCCGATATTTAATGAAGGAAACTCCGGAAGTTTTCACTTTGGGGATAACTTATTTCCTGTTTGTTTCTTCCGGACGTTGTCCTCAGATTTTCCGAGAATTGTTTGCGTGAGTGTGTCTGTGATTATTTTATTCGGTTAACGTAAATAGATTGATGAAGCGTGAAGCTTGAACGGATTTCCGGGCTTTTGGAATCCTTGACATTGGATTTGTTTTTGTACAAATTGGAAATTAAATGCGTTTTTACTTTTGTATTAGAAGATTGAAAGTTTCGTGCGAAACGCTCTTTTGACTTTTGAGACAATTAAGATAAAAGCAAAAGTGAATTTTTATTACAATTTGTTATTGGCAAAACGAGATTTTTGCGTTGTAAATCATACGCCAGCGCCATTTAAATGTCCTCAGGGGTAGAATAAGAAGTGAAATATTGGCTAAGGGCAGGAGATTTCCAGTTTATCTTTTTTTAAAGTGTGTAAAAAATATTGCTTAAATCACTTCTTTAATTAAATTTAAAATTATGGTTTCGAATCACGTCTGCTTGGTTTTTTAAAAATAAAAATTATTTTTGTAAATAAGAATGTGTTGAAACGATAGTTTTTGCCATCCTCATGTTCATTTGGTTGCTATTTTTTCTAGTCCGAAGGTTGCTAAAGTTCTAATTAGAACTTTCCCTTCTCTAAAACCATCAGCTCAATTTTTCACAACCGAAAACTATTTTAATGATAATTTAGTACATTTTAATTAATTATTCATCGTCACTGAAATTCTGAAGAGGTTAGAGATTTACTACAAGGCTACAAAAAAGTGGGGAATCACCGAATTCGATCAATATAAATTCGACCAAATTTTCATCACAAACACAAGCTTCAGATCCACTAAAGCACAAACAACCCTTCAAAATGTACAAATTGGTAAGAGAAAAAAAATATTAAAATACGCGTTAACATTCTCTTCTTTTTTCTTAATGAAGGTAGCCTTCTTCGCCCTTTTGGCTTGCGCTTACGCCGCCCCCGGTTTTGTAGCCGCCCCCGCAGTGGTGCACACCCCCGTTGTTGCTCATTCCGTCTCCAGCCACCACGCTGTTGTTGCTCACCCAGCTCCAGTTGTCGCTGTTAAGGCTGCTGTCCCCGTTGTTCACGCCGCTCCTGTTGTTCATGCCGCTCCCATCGTCCACGCCGCCCCCATTGTTAAACATGTTCCAGTTGTTCATGCCGCCCCCGTTGTCCACTCCGTCCACGCCGTCCATGGAGTCCATTACCATTAGGTGCTAACCTCTACATGGCTGTGATCCTCACTTGTAAAATATTTATTTATGTCTAAGGTCTTTAAATACAAATTTAATAAGAACACATGATTTTTTTATTTGCAAATTATGAACTTTTGAGTGTAAATTAAAGCAAAAACCTAAAGAATATTTAATTAGAAAAAATAATAAGGGAGAACATACAATACAAAATTGGAAAGTGTTATTAAATTTAATAAATTACTATAAAAGTATGAATAATACAAGGTATACAGGGTGCGCCAGAACTCGCGTCCCAGAGAAAAATACCATCTAAGGTAAGATACTAGGAACATGGAAGAAAATGTTAAAAAATTCTGTCTATAAAAATTTCGAAGTTATGAGTGTTTTTGCACTTTGACTCTATTTAGTTCCATTGGAAAAATAATTTTCCAAGTGCTTTTGCTATAGGCTATTGCAAGAGGAAATAAGGAAGCTGTATTCTAAATTGTAACTCTGTTTAATGTTATTTGTGGCTTTTATTGGCAAAATTATTGTACCTTTACAAAATAATTTAAAAAAAAACATATACAAGATCATCAGTATTAAGTATTAAATAGACATAAAAAATGGTCTAATGTCAAAAAAATTTATTTAGGTATATAAAATAAATAAGATAAATTTTTTTAAATATTTTTTCCATGTTCCTGATACCTTATCTCACTTAAAAAAAAATTCTGGGGCGCGAGTTTTGACACACCCTGTATTATGTTATTAGGAGTGATAGTGATATTTCTATAGAAATTGCTGAAGCAGTGAAAGATCCAAGAAAGAAACAACATTGGTGAATTTCAATAATGTCATGGTAAAAGTAAAAACGCTTAGGAGCAAAAATAGAATTTTTACTCCAAAAGTGGACACTTTTGTGACGTTTGCGGATAAAGTTTTTAAAACTTTTCAATTTTAACTCTTGTATAAATAAGTTGCTCTTGAGATTACTACTAACAGATCAATTTATTTCATTTCAGTGTTTTTTCTTAATTTTATGGCTT